CTGAAGGAGCAGATGATAGCACTGGATTTTCTCAGTCATCCCAGCAAAATGCTATTTGTAAATAAAAAAACCCCAGAGAAGTGAATTGCATCAAATATTAGGAATAGATTAATGGAAATGGGCGAAAAAGTGAAAGAGATTCAGGAAAGGATTTTCCCAGGATATCCATTCCTTCCAGTGGCCATGACAAATCCGGTGGTATCCCAGCTGGAAAAATCCCATTTCTATTTGGTCAGTAAATGCCATTTATCATTTATTTGGTTTAAAAATGCCATTTTCATTTGGTTTGGGCAGTTTTTCTGCAATATTCAGCACTTTTCAGCCAGTTGGGATTCCTCAATCCTACCTGGAATTCCATGCAACAAATTCCACTCTGCATCAGAGCAGAAAAAGGAAAACCTGGAATTGCACTGGGAGCACCAAGGCTGCATTTAAGGAATTATAAAAGCTCTGCAGTTACCTGCTGAGATGTGAGGGATTAAAGGTGTGCCCAACAGGCAGAAAAAAATCGGATTTGTTGTGTTTCCCTCGGTTCCTGTGGAGGTTTGTGGCTGGAATTTTGTGTTCCAGCTCATTCACAGAATCAGAGCTGCCTGAATTGTCAACCAACCCAACTTTTCAACAAATAAATAAATATTAACTTGGTGGTTTGGAGCTCCCAGTTCCCATGCTCAGAACTAAACCTCAAAATTATCTTCGTGCCCAAACATTTGCAGACAGGAGGGAAAAAAAGCCCCTTAAATGGCTGATTTTATTAAAGAACATTCCCATTAAAATATTTGAGTGAATAAAACTCATTCCTGCAGAACTAACAGTGTGTTTGCAGAATAAATCTTGGAGTATTTAGTAGAGATATTAAAAATTAATCGTTTCTGTCATTTTTACTTGCCTTTTGCCTCTTCTATTTAGAAGAATCTTTCCCTGCAGCTGGAAAACCTCAGAATGGATCAATGATGTGTCCATTACAAGTTTTTACCCTCTGGAAATCCCACTGAGGTTTTCCTGGTGGTTTTTGTCCCTGTTACATGAAGATAACTCCCATTTTTTATGTTTAACATTCCTTTTCCAGGGGCATTTCCACTCTGCAGTGTGAGTTGTGTTTAAATTGAATAAATCAAGAAATCCACCTGTCATTTTGAGGTTCAGAAATAAAATTCCAGATCTCACGTGTGTCAGTGTGAATTGTAGGGGATGGAT